ATTTGATATAGGTATTGTATCATAATTTTAACCTTACCTCCACTTGTCTTAAAAATTATTGGAGCGCCCTGATTGGCTGAGCTCTTCCTGATTTGGGCAGCGCTCAATATCTATATAATTTATTAACAAAAAATGAGTGTGCCAGTTCCAGTTTTGAATGAATCTTTAATTTTCAGTTAATCAGAAAAGAGAGGCGCAGACAAAAATGGGTACAGAAGTGGAGATTTAGATGGACAGGTACAGGACTGAAGACTTTGGGATTAAAACATTTGTTAGCAATTTAACCCCTGTAAGTAGGCCAGCAGTACAGACCTCCGAGCACCATAACAACTTACTTCTCTTATAAGTTATGGTGCTTTGAGTGTTCCTTTAATTCCCATACTAATATATGGCAAGTATCCATTTTAGACTGCACTTCTTTTTTCTGATTAACTTGGTTGCTCAGAGTGTCCCTTTAAGATTTGGTGGGTGCATTGCCAAGTAGAAGCTGATTCTGTTTGCCCCATATTTAGAACATTGCCCTGGAAAACCAACTGTCTTTACCTTGATAAAGAGTCTAATGGAGCTCCTGTGGGCAGTCTTTGCATCCACTGTGGCAGCTACATTGGAGCACACTGAAATAATCTTCAATTTAGTTTAATATAAAATCTATTTCTATACTTACTCAAAGCTAAATCTGAGCCATCAATATATTTTGAAATGGACAGCTCGCTTTTTAAAGTGAAAGTCTCTATTCGTTAAGTACTGCAGCTTAGCTGATCCCATTTTGCCCAAGACTAACTTTCTTGTTCATGCAGGGCAGTGTCAAAACAAATGCTTCATAGAGAAGCATTGTGGACAGGGCTGGCCTTAGGCCTTTAGGTGTCTTGTGTGAAAAAAAAATCACAGTGCCCCTCCCTGGTCACACCCACTCATCCATGCATTGTGTATGTATAAGGATGTAGTGTTTGTATAGGGGTATTTCATTCAGATTGTCACACACAGTTACAGGCAGAAAGTCACACACAGTTACTGGCAGAAAGTTACACACAGTTACAGGCAGACAGTCACACACAGTTACAGGCAGACAGTCACACACAGTTACAGGCAGACAGTCACACACAGTTACAAACACAGAAAGACACAGTTATAGACACAGACACACAGATACAGGCAGTCACACACACACACACACACACAAAGTTACAGAAAGTCAAACACACACAGTTAAAGGCAGGCAGCCAGTCACACACACACACACACACACACACACACACAGCTACAGGCAGACACACACAGACAGGTACCTTTTTTCATTATGCTCTGGAGGGGGGAGTAGTGGAGGCTTGCAGTCCCTGTCTAGCAGTCAGGAAAGCAGGAACTCCTTTCTGGTTTCCCCTCAGTGTGCAGCGTAACCAGGCCTCAGGTAGAGACTGCCTTAAGCCCCGCCCGGCTGCCATTTAGCCATGCCTCCGCTGCTTACTATGCTCCGCCCCCACCACCTTATATCTGGCTCTGCCTCTACACCACCAGCCCCAACGTGTGTGAGATGTGTCGGCTGCCCGGCGCCCAGAGTCGTAAGAGCGGAACCCGGTCAGTAAGTGAGGATTGTCTGTATTAAAAGCTACCGCACAGTGTTTGTTCATACACCCCAACAATCAAATGTCAACACTGAGTGCAATAGCAGCCACAAAAAGAGACTCTAGAGGCGCACAGGTCAATTCATAGCAATAAAGTGGTCTGGGTGCCATATCCCTATGTGACGTTTTATTTGGAAAACATTTATAGGATAAGGTCTAATACAAAATGGACACCAAAAGCTCCTTCCAAACCTTGGGTTGAAATAGACTTATTAAACAGATTACCTCAATATGTGAACATTAGAGTTCAGCCGTGATTATCCATGTCCTTAAGTTTGGGAGAGTTAGAAGCAGTCCGCTGACTCTTATCAGAGCAAATGTTCACAATATTAATGAGGAAATCACAAGGCCACTTAATATTTAGTTAACTTATAGGACCTTGAAGGGTTAGTCTAAGCACCAAAACCACTTTTGCCAAATTAAGGTTTTGGTGTATAGATCATGACCCTTTAGTATCACTGCTCAATTCTCTGAGATTCAGAAGTCAAGTCACTTAGTTTCTGCAGCCCTAGCCATACCAACCCTGGCTGTGACTTGCTCATTCTTCCTACATACTTCCTTGATAGATATATATATATATATATGTCACGAGCGTGGGCTATAGGCCCAGCCGAGACAGTGGGGAGAGTGTGGAAGTGACAGGGTTAATGACACCAGACCCCTGGTTACCTGTTGCTAGTCCCAGCAACCACTCAATTAACCCCTGCAATCCCTTCTACACTAACCCCCTTAGTACTACTGCCACCACCAAGACTTTTAAACCCGGGCGTCTTAGGTTACCCCACACACAGGAGAATTATAGTATCACAGTTCTACTTTTACTGATAAAACATATATAGTTAACCCTTTTTGGTAACGTGTTTACCTGAGCTTTCCTCTGGAGAGTGAAGCTCATAGAGAACAGAGACACAAGCTGATTAAGTAAACATTTAATCTGACAAAAAGGATTCACAGTGCTGAGTACAAAATACAGAAATAAATGACATACAGATAACAAATTGCAAAACAGTACATAAAATAAAATAGGAGAAAACACAAGAAATTCCTTACATATATTTACCCCATATAGAATTCTTGTGGGAGTCTTAGATGGTATAGATCTCCTAGAAGTTACTGACAAAAGAAAAATGAATAACTGACCTCCCTGGATAGTCCAACACCCTCATATATCTAAACTAGTTGTTTCTCAGTGGGCAGACCCCTGGGGGGGATCAGAGGGGGCTGGTCTGGCAGTCTATTGCCCACTCTATGAAATTCCTTGTGTCCAGCTCTGGTGATGGCTATCTAGATGTTTTATGGTCTAGGCCTGGTGCAAGATCAAAGACCACAATAAATGTCATCCCAAGGTTTACAAAAAAACAACTCTTAACATATATAAACACACATCAAATACCAACTCATGCTTTTGGCATGACACCTCCCCCTTAAGATGGTGGACAGAAAAATTCAGCCATAGGCTGATTTATCTGTCTACCATTAACCCTCTAGTTGCCGAGACAGGCCATCTGCATTCCCATGCAAGCTGCCCTTTTTGTGATGGGCAGTGAAATTATACTGTTGGAGGATAGGGCTCCAATGGAGCAGTTTATCATTGTTACCTCTCACCTGCAGCAGGTTGTGATCAGTCCATACCACAGCTACACCCTCAACAAACATGCCTGATTTGCCTGTTTCAATTTCCCATCGATCTCTGGTAACATCCCTTAAACCACACCCACTGCGCTCATGTAGTAGCTGTAAGGGGAAGAAACCAATGGATTTCTGCAGCACTCCCCGGTAAGCACACAAAAAAGCAGACAGAGAACACTCCCAGGATAGATGTGCTGTATCAACATCCATCATCTCTTTAATTTTGCGGTCTGTCTGCTGGGCTTGTTGCACTATCAGACTCTGAACCTTTGGTTCACAATCAGAAAGTTGCCTAGGTGTATGCGTGAGTTGTGATAAACTGACAAGGTTCCTGGTTCCTCCAACAGTATGTTTCCCTGCAGCCATCCTTCCTGGACCCACAGGCTGAGTCTGTCCGTGCCCCTCACTTTCACTCAGTGTATCACATACATCTGCTTCAGGCACATATTGGCACATATATTCATTCAGCCCCCTCTCGCTGGAAGGCTTTTCCCATACATTTTCACAGGACACATTTGACCCCCCTTGATCAGATACAGAATTTTGCACACACTCACATAATTTCTTCTCCAGGGCAGGCCCTCCTCTCACAATCTCACATAGCACCTCAGACTGTCCTGCTGCAGCCCTGACCCACTGTTGACTTGTTACCACTGCGACTAGTGGTACACATCCCTGGCTCTCACCTTCCTCCTCCCCCTTACTCTCTGACATCCCAGCCTCACAGTATTTTGATACAGGCACATCACTACTCACCCCTATCTCACATTTGGTAGACATCACTGGTTCAGTTACAGGTAGATATTTATCCACACCCTGCTCTCCCTCCCAGCAATCACACCTCACAATGTCTCCCAAAGTTTCACACAATACCTTAGGTGGAGCAGTCAGCCCTTCTGGCTCACAGACAGTGTCCGCTGGAGCATAGTGACAGAGCATCCTGCCCAAATCATTCCCCAACAGAACATTAACAGGGATATCCTCTGAAATCCCCACTTCCCGCAAACCTTTGCCCGCACCCCAATCAAGGTACACACGTGCCAAGGGCACAGCGGGGCGTACACCCCCAATTCCTTTGATGGACATGGTCCTTCCAGGGATTATGTCCTCCGTATTCACCACTTCAGGTCGCACCAGGGTGAAGGAAGCTCCAGAATCTCTCAGTCCCATGGTCACTCGGTCACCCACAATTACACTCTGCAGGTTATCCTCTCGTTTCCCCACAGACCCACCCACAAGCAATACTGATGGTGCCCCTCCACGGGCTGGTGAGGGCATATTCCTAGTGGGGCAAGTCCTGCTCAGATGACCAATCTGGTTGCATCGAAAACAACGGCGGGCATCTGACTCACTTGACATAGCCCCGGCTACGCTGGCAGTCGGCGGTGAAGTTCTCACTGCAGATCTTACAAGTGGTGTTTGAACTGTAGCTTCTCTCCAGGTCGAAGTAGCAGCTGACACAAGTCCACGCCTGGATGTGGGTGCATGGATGTCGGCATAGTCATCTGCCAGTTCTGCAGCAGCCCTAGCATTTTTTGGCTTTCTTTCCAAAATCCACTCTCGTACATTAGGGCTCCGGGTCTGCAAGAACTGCTCCAGGACCAGTAAGTCATTAAGGGCTTCATAGGTAGTAGCTTGTACTCCTGTTACCCATTGCCGGAACGTGGTTTCTAATTGTGCAACATATAGAATGCAGCTGGATGATGGGCATTGCTGCATACTCCTAAACTTTTTCCTGTAAGACTCAGGAGTAAGGTTAAAAGTTTTTTGCAATGCAGATTTGATTGCCTCATAGTTGTTATCAGTCTCTGGGGGAAGGGACACAAACACATCCAAGGCTTTCCCTTTCAATTGTGGAGTTAAATATCTGCCCCACTGGTCTGAGGGTAGTTGATGCTGCCGGCATACTTTCTCAAAACATTTTAAAAATACATCCAAATCTGTCCCTTCTTCGAGGGAAGGAAAATCATCCTTACAGAGCCTACGTGTGCTGGACTCTGATGCATTGCTGTTCAGTGAGGACTGAAGGGTAAATTGCAGTTTAGCAAGTTCCAGCTCATGTCTCCTTTGTGCCTCCCTTTCGGCTAGCCTCTCTGCAGATTCCCTTTCTGCAGCCTGCTGTTGGATCATCACATGCAGGGCCTCCTGAGGATTTGCAGCCATCAGTTGCCGAAATAAATCAGTTGAGCAAATGTCCTTAATGTTTTGAGGGGTACAACCACCAGGCATTTCAGTAAGCAACACTCCTGCAGTAGTAGGGAGCTCAGTAACCCTTTCAGTGTCCGTCTCTGGCTGGAAAATATGGCTGTCAGCCTCCACAGGGTCAGCAATAAGTTGTGCCTTATTTTTGCCAAAAGTTGGTAAATTCTTTTCTTGGCACAACAATTCCAAGGCCTCTTTTGATTGTTTGCGATAGGCCTCCATATTCACAAATAGGATAGAGAAAGAAAAACAAAAGATGGGAGGGGAGAACTGTTTTGCACTTTGTATGTATTTTAAATCAGCACTGAGCTTGGTCTTTGGAAATTACACAAAAACAAGTATGCAATTTCTTTTAGTGCTAAGACCCCCTTTACAGGTAAAATCTAGCAAGCACTAAAAATCTCTAAATATATCCCACTAGCTGCCGCCAGTTTGTCACGTGCGTGGGCTATAGGCCCAGCCGAGACAGTGGGGAGAGTGTGGAAGTGACAGGGTTAATGACACCAGACCCCTGGTTACCTGTTGCTAGTCCCAGCAACCACTCAATTAACCCCTGCAATCCCTTCTACACTAACCCCCTTAGTACTACTGCCACCACCAAGACTTTTAAACCCGGGCGTCTTAGGTTACCCCACACACAGGAGAATTATAGTATCACAGTTCTACTTTTACTGATAAAACATATATAGTTAACCCTTTTTGGTAACGTGTTTACCTGAGCTTTCCTCTGGAGAGTGAAGCTCATAGAGAACAGAGACACAAGCTGATTAAGTAAACATTTAATCTGACAAAAAGGATTCACAGTGCTGAGTACAAAATACAGAAATAAATGACATACAGATAACAAATTGCAAAACAGTACATAAAATAAAATAGGAGAAAACACAAGAAATTCCTTACATATATTTACCCCATATAGAATTCTTGTGGGAGTCTTAGATGGTATAGATCTCCTAGAAGTTACTGACAAAAGAAAAATGAATAACTGACCTCCCTGGATAGTCCAACACCCTCATAATATCTAAACTAGTTGTTTCTCAGTGGGCAGACCCCTGGGGGGGTGGGGGGGAGATCAGAGGGGGCTGGTCTGGCAGTCTATTGCCCACTCTATGAAATTCCTTGTGTCCAGCTCTGGTGATGGCTATCTAGATGTTTTATGGTCTAGGCCTGGTGCAAGATCAAAGACCACAATAAATGTCATCCCAAGGTTTACAAAAAAAACAACTCTTAACGTATATAAACACACATCAAATACCAACTCATGCTTTTGGCATGACAATATATATTGAGAGATATAGCAGAACAACAGATAACAGACAATTTTCAATTCAGTTAGTGTTGCCAACATTTTGAAATTCACTCTGAATTCCAGGAAATTACCACTTCAGTGATTAAACCGAACGGAACGGACACGGAGAGGTTAGATTTTTTTTTTTTTTAAATGAAACATGATGTTATTTGTGTTCAGAAGCATTGAAAATTTCTGGGCTATTTGTTAAACTTTGAATTTTCACAAATTAAATGGAAACACTGAGGTAAATATAGCTGATCTGGAAAGTCTCAGACTCAGCTACTCACCGACATTTATTTTTGATATTACTGTGTTTTTCACTTTGAATATATTTTCACGTATTGTTCTAGAACTCTGCTATCCAAGTTCACAATCAGATGTTCCATGTATTCGGGGCTACAGCCAAGAAAATCTCTTATTAGACATCTAAGTATAAGTGGAAAGAGAAAGGAGCCTCTAGTTCATCTCCTGGACATGTCAGGACAAGTTCTACCACTTATTTATATAGTTTGGATTATATGCCAGATCCTGTACTTATTTTGTTATCAAGAGGTAAGACTCCAGTGTTTTGATAAACCCATATTTTATAGGTAGCAAACAAGCTGCAGATAATAAACTCCTTAATTGGACACTCCATTTCCCGAATAAAAATCACTATTTAGCAATGAAAACATGCATACAAATAATTATGGATTTTTCTAATTGGGGCATTTTTAAAACAGCTGCAGATCTCTTCTCTAAACACTTTGCAAACCCTGGCCCTCTTATCCCCCTCCTGAGTTTCTGTGTCTGTCCAATCACAGACTTCCCAATGAGCTCAATGAGAAGACAGGAGCTCTGAGCAGGAACTTGAGTTTTCTGATAAAGAATACATCTTTATGAAAAGAATCCGGGTAGAAACCAACAATAGTTATATTTGCGTAGGTTTACAATCCCAATGTTACAAAATTCTGCCAACCAAAAACTTACAATATTGGGGCTAAGGATAATATTTTAAAAACCTAACCAAACCACTGGAGAACATAGCTGAGGGATCCTGGCAGTGCTGTATTTTGCCCACCTTGGTTTCTCTTCATTAAGGCTTTGGGTGTTGCAGGCTAGTTCGGTCGGGAACGAATTACATGCTGACGAGGTTCAGAAAAATTAAGTTAATGGTAACTGTCTGCTGGTTAACACCAGCAGCTGACAGTCAGTGATGGTAATGCTGGTTATTGAATAAAGCTGTGGCCGTTGCCCTTACCCAATAAATCTTGCTGCATGAATTATTGGGAAAGGGGAGAGTAGCAGATGGATAGACTATGAGGAATCACCAGTCATTGGTGTTTATCCACCTGATTTATGTTGGAGAAATTGTGCATCCAGGGGTACCTTTTATCACGTGGTGCCAATGCTCTAGGATGACCACTTTCTGGACTTATATTAATGAACTTGTTTGACAAGTTCTCTGTAAACCTATTGACCTGTGGCACTGTTCAGCTGATACCTTAACCAGAGCGGAAAACCAAACTTCCCCCTTGGAGAGCATTAGCTCATGGCTCACAGATTTAATCCCACTTGCCTACACCAGCAGTTATAGCCAATATAACATGTTGATGGACAAATTATTTACTATGGTGCCCAATACACTAATTTCCACACTCAAACTTCTATAAAACACCCTATTTAAGGTTCTTAGAGACACATCATTACCCATCTCTCTACTTCCTTAGTTTTCCTATATAACATCTTCCTTGCATGGCTCCTTCTACTTTTCATCTTTCATTTGTATGGTGGTTTATATTTTTTTTCTCTTTAGTTTTGTGTTGTATTATCTTATAAAAAAGGCTCAGGGTGCGCATGCATGTTTCAATGGTTTACTTTGTGGCTCGAGACTCTTGTTTTATAGCTTTGTGTTGGATGTAATATTCTTCTCCAAAGTCCTTATTGTGTCCCCCTGTGTATACCCACTCCAGAATTACAAAATAGAAAAATAAGACAGAGCACCGAGGACCGAGTCCATACAGTTTTTATCACTTTCAGAAAACACTTCTACTGAAATGAACGAAAAAACGCCAAAAATGCATATAAAAGTGTCTTTAATTTTGAACAAGTATAAAGTACAACATAAGAAATACTGTGCAAATATATGTAGTCATAGTCACAAAATGTCTCCAATACATTAATGTTCAACATTAAATGTGTCAAAATCTGTGCACACTTAAAAAAAAAAAATGAATGTTTAAATCTTCAAAACATCAGTTAAAGATCTGATGCCGTACTAGATAACAAAAAAATACTGATACATCTCTCCCGACAGTGTACAATGTGCAAGCAGTTTAAATAATGACAGTACGAATCAATCCATACAGTCAGCGACCACATCTGATAAAAATTTGTGACCAAAGTGCAGCTTATCTTGTAAATATAGAAAAAATAAAATCACATTAATTAAAAATAAAGATTAATTTTAAGCAACTGATACCTGCAGCTCACTTCTATACATCAAGCATGCTCAGTAAAAAGGTACGTATTCACTGGTAAACATGGGAAAGTCAATGAAATTAGACTATCTCCCTTAGCATCTTCACAGGAAGAAATGCCAGGTAGTAAGTTCAGCGTAAACATTTGCTATAATAGCACTAAAATTTATGTCCAAACTTTGAAATTGATACCTATGTTCAAATAAAAGACTCCTAAGCTATAGGTTTAGCAAGAATTAATATGAGTCATCTGGAGCATTAAACTATTAAACGAAGGACAGAGTAATTGCCAATAACACTTCCAATTTAAAGGCTACTTAGAGGCAGTTGTACAAGAATAATTATAAGATCCATGCATAAACCCCTGAACTGTGTGCTTAGAAGGAAACGGGTGTCGGCATAGATTGCAAAAACACAAAAAAACAGTCAACTACGAGAAACTCATTCATCTCTCAGTGGTCCTAATAAGCACATGAACGGTTCACAAACGATTTAATGTTATACCTGTATATAAACTCATTTGCATTTATTATATATTTGGTGCAAATGATTAAACCAGCACTTTTAGTATTCAGTATATCAGGTAGTGTTTTAAGACCCTGTATATTACTTGTAAGAGCACTTCATGAAAATGATCCTATTATCAGTAGTTTTTTGGGGGGGGAGGCAGTTTGCAGAGAGGTTTAGAAAGCAGAGAATATTTGATTCATTGATTTTCAAAGTGCTTATCCATACTAAAATAAAGTTTTGGCATGAAATAAAAAAAAAAAAAAAAATCCAAAACAAAAAACCACAAGTCCACCATATGTGCAAATCAAAACAGAATTTCTATTCAAAACTTAGTTTTGAGTTGGAGAATTAGCAATGAACATGTTATAAATAATTGCAAACATAAATAAACAGATTTTTTTTAGTGATAAGATAACACTATACTGAAGTGTCTTATCTTCCAACAACTGTTGTTGCAAGTCTGCATTAATATAAATATGCATCAACAACATAGCAGATATTAATTTTATGCTTAACGATAGTGTTATTTTTATATATACGTTAGCAGGCAGATGTAACAAAAAAAATGTCTTGTGCAGATGATTTTATAAAGACGGATTGTTGAGCACGGAAAACTTGGCAGCCTAGGAATCTGTGTGGATACACAGGAATTGGGCTCGTAATGGTTACATTAGCTGCAACGTTATAGGCATATTTTGCTCAGCCTACTCTAGGAAAAAAGACCACCCAGTGCATCCTGCACTAGCTGCTAACAAGACATTTTCATACCTTTTTAAGCTAGCAAGACATATTCATACCTTTTTAAGCTAGCAAGACATAGTATTAAAAGCCTTGAAAGCTCCACTAACAGAGACTGCTTAAATGGTTTGCATGGTAATCAGACTACACCACGTCTTGATGTTCGGAAACACCAAAATCAACTACATTTTTCTGTCTTCTTCAGTGCAATGTACTCAGGAATCCAAGTCGTCATCGAAGATACCTGGTGCAGGTTTCCATTTCTCCACCAATTCCATTTCCTTCTTGTTAATGTAGTCTTTACCATACTCACAATCACGAGTAGGAGTACATGTGATTTAACATCCAGGTTTCGGCCTCAGAACGTGCCCAGAACACTTAGTTGCAAGGTGATTTTGTATCTGGTGTTCACTGAACAGGTGCCGAGGCTTGTGGGACCGCAATCTCGCTCAACCTACTAACTTCCATCTGCCATGTAGGCATCTTTTTGGTTGACAGGTGGCGCCTCGTATGCTTGGTTAGATGATCACTACGCATAAAACGCCTATCGCATTTTGGACACGCAAACTTCTTTTCACCGGTGTGTGTTCTACGGTGACGGGACAGTTCATCAGAGCGGGCAAATTTTCTGTCACAACCTTCCCAGCTACAGCTAAAAGGCTTTTCTCCTGTAAGTTACAAATAAAAAAAAAATGCATGAATTAAAACTAGTAAATATTCTATCAGCATACAAGAGAGTGTAGATTTTAAGCATTCCTTCCCTTTGCCTATTTTGCACACCATATGTATCCCATACTTGTGAAACCATAATATAAAATATAGATATGATATAGATATATATCTCACAAACCAATCTAGTTATGGTGGGGTAAAAGGTGATTGAAAACCCTTCCAACTAAAACTTAGTGGATAGCAAATACATTGTTAAACACAGATCTGCACACACCAAACAAGCCATGAGACTTGCTTTTCCCACAAAAATCTCACATTTGCACATCTGTTACTACTGCAAGGTATTATGGGTGGCACATGCAAATCAGTCCAACAAAGAATCACCTTTTTGCCTTATAAATTCCACTTCATACATGGATTCCTTGGAGTATATGTTTGCTATACACAACATATTTAAGGCACAATTCAGGAAGAGGTGCAAAGGATCGTTTTTCGTGGAATGTCAACGTTACCAGATACAGTATTTAAGAATATAATTTTCTTTGTTTTTTTATTTTAACTTAACCAAACTCGTGGAACTTTTAATATGACAAGGAACAATAATGTCTTAGTTTTTAGTAAAATTTTACATTGTCCATTGCTAAGTTGAGTCATTTATTTTAACAAGGATTGTCTAGGATAGCTTTATTATGATGTTTTAATAGAGCACAGGTCAGTGTTGTAAAGGACATAACATACCTGTGTGTGTTCTCATGTGTGCCTTTAAGTGGGAGCTTTTGAAGTATGTCTTCCCGCACCCAGCGTGACTGCAGACATGACTTCTGATGCGGGAGTTATCGGTGTGGATGGAGACCTTTGTTTCAGGAGGTGCAATACCAGGTGCTGGAGCAATGGGTGATAGCCTGGTACCACTGCTCAGGAGAGTCTTTGCATTGTGTAAAACTGGCTGTGGCATTACAAACATCACGGTTCCTTTAGGCATCTGTGTCCCCATGTAAAACAAAGGCTGCATTACGGTCTGGCCTGTAACTGGCTGTGAGTTTGCAACCACCGTAGTAACTACAGGTTTGCTAGAGGCGATAGGAACCATCTGACAAAAGACGGGCATTTGGGAGACAGAAACACCATTTGTAGCTACTGGTGGAGGAACCAACAGTTGGGGAGAATGGGTTTGCACTGGAAGCAAGTTGGCATCAGGCTGACACAGTTTATAGCTGAGAGTAGAAGGACTAATTGAGCTAAAGTCATTCTGTACTTGCTGGAAGGAAGATGATTGTGTCTCCATCTTAATATTTTCATTTTCACACATTTCCCTCCCTGGATTTGCTTTTGGGAGTGGAGCTACAATTGAAACCAGCAATTTTTTCTTCAAAGGTTCCTCTTTTTGCTGAGATACTTTGTTCACAGGATTGTCTTTGCAAATATTTGTGGAGATGTGAGCATGGCTGTAGTGAAGAGCATCTGCTGTGTGCCGGATCACACTTGTCACCTGAGCTTTCTGCATCGATGTGGTGGAATGTTTAGAGTCTGATGAACTATTGGCCATGTTATTGTGGGCCACACTTGTGAAAGGCCTGCAGTTTTCAGACAGTGGAACTGGAGACATGGGTTGAGGAGACATCTCAAACTCAGAAGGGCTGTAAGGTGGGGTCAGGCACTGAAACAAATAGAAAAAATATGAACGATTACTAATTACGTATTAATAATTATATATTGACTGACATTGTTCATTAAATCTATAGTCTACATCAGGGGTAGTCAACCTGGTCCTTACCGCTCACTAGTGGGCGGTTTGGAATTTCAGGTGGGCGGTGGTGGCTTCTGCAGAAAACAACCAGTGGGTCTCTATGGCCGTGGACCACGGCCAGCCACGGGGATCCTTCCATCTCCTCTGCCGGCCCAAGCAGAGCCAGCCTTCCTGTAAGCCCTCTCAGGTTGGTGAAGAGATCTCCTCACCGTCCCGCTGGCACTTAGTTCCAGCAGAGGGAGGGAAGGGCCTAGGATCTGCACCCTCACCGACACTGCACCACACACACACACGGAAAAAGTATAGAAAGTTTAAAAATGTAAAAAAAAAAAAAAAAAGTTACATTTAAGTACTTACTTTAAAAAAAAAATTCTCCTTTCTAAGACTTTATTTAACAAATAAAAAAAAACTGTGCATTTGCACTATACATTTTATTACATTGGCACTAGTGGGCGGTAAGAAAATTTTACCATTAACAAAGATACAAAAGTAGGCGGTAGGTATCAAAAGGTTGACTACCCCTGGTCTACATTATTCATTAAATCTACCAAGGAAAGAATTTCAAAAAACTTCAAACCTACGTCAATACCAAATTTTACACAGAGTAGATGATTGTATGTAAAATAAAAAGATGCCTTCTATATGTTTATTACAGATCCTGTCAAGAAAAATCTGTATTTATTTAAAAATTGCTCATATCTTTGCTTGACCTTAATACATGCGCACTATGAAATATGTTGATGCCCTATGCGTAGCCAATACACTTTACTGTGTTATAGCTATTTACTACGTTATAGCTATTTTACTTGACCATTAAAAATTAAATGTGGAGCACTTACAAAAGCAGAGACTGTATTATATTCTGGTGGGTTTGCCATTAGGCTGTCTTCATTTTCCGACAGGTCCGATGCTGGAGTGATGGGCCTCATTTCGGTATACCGTTTGGGCTCTGACTTCCAGCGGCTACTCATGTACATGAGAGCTTCGACTGCTTCAAAATCCACTTTCTCCGTATTAGCGTTCCAAGAAAATCTTCCTTTTGGTAGTTTCTCAGGCACTTCCATTTTGTCAGTCTAGGTATGATAAATAAATAACATAATGAGATGTGTACCGTATTCTTCAGAAACATTGATTTGTGACAAGTCTATTCTTCTAAACTAGCCAACCTGCTATTTAGACAGTTTTGCACAGTGACTCTGTGCTTTGATGTTTGAAATATTAGGTAATTAGCATTGCTACACAGCTATGGCAAGTTTTTATACAGACATGAAATGTATGCTTTGCATATACAGTTTAAACACAATGAAATAATGATGTATGAGAATGATATATACCAATGTATTAGCCTCTATGGAAATATTTAACCCCTTTTAGATAAAAGATTAGGCAAATTCAGGTCTTTTTTGTTTTGCAGCTAGGAACCAGCTAAAAGAGTTAGGAAACATTAAAAAATAAAATAGCCTCCCATGGGAAAAGCATTGGATTCGCTGTAATCATCAAGATTAATGATCTCAGCCACGGAGGTGGAGTAAATTGCGGCGAGAACGGTGTGGCGAAGGAGTAAAGGTGAATAAAATGATCTTTTCCAGCATGCGCGATAGTGTCAGGAATACGTGTTTGCATTGATGACGCTATATAGTGTTCCTTTAAGGGTTGGAAGGGTGGAAATACTCATCATTTATTTGGTTACAATGTTATTTAAAATCTGTTTAGTGTGATGAATCAATAAAATGGTGCAGGTTCTCACACTAACACTGTAAGAATCATAACAAAACAAATACTAATTTATACATTTACTAGAGTTTCTATTTTTATTGCTGCCCCCCAGTCCAAGGTCCATTGTGTCATGTGATTATTTAACTAGAGGAGGGGGGGGGACACAGCACTCCCTTCCTCACAGTCCCCCCTCCCCTCTCCCAGTTACACAAACACACACAGCTACATGCCACAGCCAATCAGCGGCCGCGCCCGGGCCCATTGGCCTTCAAAGTGACGTTTCCCGAGCAGCGATTGGACGACGGGTCAAGGGCGGGCACGTGAAGGAAGCGTGATCAGCTGCTGCTCTCCAGCACTCAGGAAGCGTGAACTCGAGAGAACCGTCGCTCGGGCAACCTTTCACCTACTTTGTGCTGGGAGCCGGGCGCGCACCCGCGACTCACACACAGCACGTTCTGCCGCGGGGACGCGCGCTGCAGCCTGGATGACATACTGCCTGTTATAAGTAGGTTAGCTGGGATCCCGCCTTGGCCAAGGGGGCTGCAGGTGGCATGGGGCCAATGGCCACCACTGCCAGGGGATAAATATCCTCATCCCAGCTCTCTATATACTAAATAGGGAGAACTTGGAATATCACAACAAAAATAATGGAAATCAAGGTCACAACATCATAAACTACAGCCTGGACCAAAAAAGCTCAGTATTTACCCCATGGTATATTATAACCACCACGGTATGAGTACGTACCCCGTTATGTATTATAACCATCACTGTATCAGTACATACACCTAATGTATAATAACCCTGTATCAGTATTTACCCCCAGGTATATTATAACCATCCCTGTATCAGTACATACACCTAATGTATAATAACCCTGTATCAGTATTTACCTCCAGGTATATTATAACCATCACTGTATCAGTATTTACCCCCTGATAAAACATAATCATCCATGTATCAGTACATACACCTAATGTATAATAACCCTGTATCAGTATTTACCCCCAGGTATATTATAACCATCCCTGTATCAGTACATACACCTAATGTATAATAACCCTGTATCAGTATTTACCTCCAGGTATATTATAACCATCACTGTATCAGTATTTACCCCCTGATAAAACATAATCATCCATGTATCAGTACATACACCTAATGTATAATAACCCTGTATCAGTATTTACCCCCAGGTATATTATAACCATCCCTGTATCAGTACATACACCTAATGTATAAGAACCCTGTATCAGTATTTACCTCCAGGTATATTATAAACATCATTGTATCAGTATTTACCCCCTTATAAAACATAACTGTATCAGTACATACACCTGATGTATAATAACCATCCCTGTATCAGTATTTACCCCATGATAGAACATAACCATCTCTGTATCAGTACATACACCTAATGTATAATAACCATCCCTGTATCAGTATTTACCCCCAGGTATATTATAGCCATCACTGTATGAGTATATACCTTCTGAAATATCATTATCGCCATTTATATAGCGCCAACAGATTCCGTAATAAATCATAATCACACTGTATCAGTATTTACCCCCTGATGTATTATAACCATCATTGTATATATTTACCCCCTGATGTATTATAACCATCACTGTATCAGTACATACGCCCTGATATATCAAAACCATCACTGAATGTGTATTTAGCCCCTGATCTATTATAATCATCACTGTATCAGTATTTACACCATGATATATTATCACCATCACTGTATCACAATTTATACCACTGGTATATCTCACCTTCATCACTGTATCAGTATTCACCCCAACTATAGTAACTCCAATCACTATATAAGTATTTACACACTGGCATATTATAACCATCATTGTATCAGTATTTATACCACTGATACATTAACTCCATTACTGTGTCAGTATTTACACACTGGCATATTATAACCATCACTGTATCAGTATTTATACCACTGATACATTAACTCCATTACTATGTCACTATTTACCCCCTGGCATTTTAACTCCATCACTGTATCAGTATTTAACCTGGCTTATTTACCCCTCATATTAACTCTCTGACTGTATTAGTGTTTACCCTGGTATATTAATGCCAGCATTCTAACACACTGCTCAACCCTGGTATATTAATACCAACATTCTAACTTAGTGTTCACCCCTGGTATATTAATGCCAACATTCTAACTTAGTATTGCCAATGCCCCTGTATTGCACAGTCCTTTCTGAGTATCCACTGCTTCCAGAATAATGGAGATCGCGGTTTATCATGTTAAGTGGAGACAGGCAGTAACAATAACAGCAATAACCAGAATAAGATGTACTTACTATGGTGTGAAAGTGAGGAGCTGGGAAACTGATCATGGCTTGTTGCTGGCAGTCTTTGTAAAGGATGGGCAGCAGTGTAGGGTGGGTGGGATGCTGTATATATAGATACAATGTATGGTGGGTGGGATGGCAGCAGTGCAGAGTACACTGTGTGAAATGCTGTCTATATGGATACAGAGCAGAGTACACTGTGTGAGATGCTGTCTATATGGATACAGTGCAGAGTCACTGTGTGAGATGCTGTCTATATGGAGTACACTGTGTGAGATGCTGTCTCTATGTATGGGAGCAGTATATGGAGATGCAGTGTGTGTGTGAGATGCTGTCTCTATGTATGGGAGCAGTCTATGGAGATGCAGTGTGTGTGAGATGCTGTCTCTATGTATGGGAGCAGTCTATGGAGATGCTGTGTGTGCTCTGCCTGTAGTGGATAGAATGATACTGTTACAATGTTTGAGAGGCGCTCCATTCAGATCCTACTCTACTTTTCCCAACGTAGCGTGGGCGGGGACCAGAACCGGCCAATCAGCGGCAAAGGTGTGTAAGGCAGCAGCCAATCAGCTAGCAGTCAGCGCGTGATCAGCTGCTGCTTAGCGGCGTGGAAGCGGCTCAGTCAGTGCGTGGTACACAAACCCCCAGGTTGAGTTGGGAGAGAGAGAGAGCCGGTGTTCTATCAGTTTGGTATACCCCGTCAGATTGCTATACCCACGTCACTTCCGGGGAGGGGAATCAGCTGTCTCCTGTGCTGCACATGCGTGCTAGCACTCCTGCTACTCCTCCACAGCAAGGTCCTGGAAGGTAAGTAAAACTAGTTTTACACTTTCATTATAGATAGTGCATTCACTAAGCTTAGGACATGGGACATTTAGGGTTAATGTTAGGGTTCAAATTAGGGTTAGGATTAGGGACTTGTTCCTATTTAGTGATATTTCACATTAGGGGAATATCACTAAATAGTGATTTCTCACACTTTATTTTAACCCTTACCCCAAGGGTTAGGGTAAGAATAGAGTGTGAGAGAGGTTAGAAGCACTTACCTAACCCTAATTTGTACCCTCACTTAACCCTAAATGTCCGTGTGCCTAAGCTTAGTGAATGCACTAACTATAATGAAAGTGTAAAACTAGTTTTACTTACCTTCCAGGACCTTGCTGTGGAGGAGTAGCAGGAGTGCTAGCACGCATGTGCAGCACAGGAGACAGCTGATTCCCCTCCCCGGAAGTGACGTGGGTATAGCAATCTGACGGAGTATACCAGACTGATAGAACACCGGCTGACTGGGAAGTCCCTGGGTGATGCAGCAAGCCGGCATCCTCTGTAATGAGAGGGGTGGGAGAGAGGGAGCATGACTCATTATCACATCTCAAACCTGGCTGCACCCCATCCCCCTCCTCATATACAGCCAGCAGCCTCCAAACATGCAGCGCAAGGGGAATAATGTGTACTCAGCCTGGGCATGTGTCATCCTCACACTCACCCACCCTTTGTCTCCAATAAGGGGGGGGGATTCCGCCATTACAGCTGGGTGGGTTTTATTTCTGTCAAATCATGGTTTAGTCATGTCTGATTCTGGGGAAAAAAAAAACATATGCTGCATACCTGTGAAAATGGAGGATGGGGGTATTAAAAAAGAAACATGTCATGACACTACATGGGGTTTGTGTATAAAATTATTGCAGTTAGAAAATTGTCTGCGTTTATGTAAAAAAAAAAAAAAATTATATATATATATTTATATATAGTGATCCTTGTCTGCAGCTAGCACGATCCTAGGGTAACCAACAGGCACAGTGCTTTTATTTTCATATATTTCAGGCACTTTATTTGTACACTGTGTGTTTTACAGGTCTCTTTTTTTTTATAGCACAAACCGGCTTGACACTGCTGCCCTCAGTCACAGTCTTTCTTTCTCGTTTTGTTGCCTTGGGAAGATTTATCAGTACCTTTCTGTTTTCTAATGTCTTTCCAGCATTCTCTTGAAACATGCAAGATTCGGTTTCTGAGCGTAAAAATATTTTTGTTTCCAACTCTTTTCCCAAGACCTCTTTATCTGTTGTGATGCCACTCAGAGCAAGTTTGAGGCTTTCACGTGAAGCTGCAATGTTTTTATTCTCAAATAAACACTTGTCAACTTCGCTAATCAGTTTGTCTCGGTCTCCCTTCTGGTTCTTTTGACCTTTCTTACTTTGGCACGTCATCAGTGTCACCATCACTGTCTCTTGACAATTACGCTTTTTCCTTTAGTTTTGCAGGTTTCTTTACTAACGTTTTCTTTTTCTTTTTGGTCCTTGGATGATTCAGCTGGCTGTTCACTCCCAGTGCTCAAAGCCAGCCTTAACTGCTTTCCTTTCTGCATTCCCAGTGCTCCAAGCTAGCCTTAACTGCTTTCCTTTCTGCACTCCCAGTGCTCCAAGCCAGCCTTGACTGCTTTCCTTTTGCACTCCCAGTGCTCAGTCTCCTTGACTCTCTCACTGGAGAGAACAGCCTCTCTACTACCTGCTTCCAAGGAGTAAGCCAGCAATCCCCCTTTACCTGCCTAGCAGGTAGGGGTTTATTCCCACTGCTGCAGCTGATTATCTGCAGCTGAGCAGTGTGCTGGAGACAGATTAAAACTCTGGCCTGGACCTTATTTCTCCCAGTTGTATGTAAACTGCGAAGTGGAGCTTTGGCCCACCCTGCTCTCCAAATGCTCCACCCCACAGGCCCATAACTAAACTTTGGTTGCCTACAACACATACTAGATATACTCCCCCTGGGGTTAAATGTTATAGGCCTATCTGCCTTCACTTTATCACAATATATATACACATCTGCGTGCTTATGTCAATGGAAAAGTGATTTTTATTTTTTTTATTTTGTCAGATTCTGCTAAAAAATAGGCACTTTATGTTCTCTAATTTGCTACGTTTCTTACACTATAGATACTGCTAGATACAAAATAGCAGCAAGTTGTATTTCAAGAAAGTGGTCTAAGAAAAGGCACATATTATTATTATTATTATTATATTTAAAACTTTCAATAAAACACTTGAAAGGCATACTTTTGCACCCATGTTTATACATAACCTAAAACAGAATACATCATAAAAAACAACAACTTTATTTTAATACAGCTGGTGAGCCATTTTGTATTGTGCAATAATACAAACGATACAATGTGGTGTCACTAGAGGAGCCATGCCCCCCACCCCCACCCCCTCCTCTTGTGCCAAAAAGCCTTCTGCCATCTTTACAAAAAAAAAATATATATATATATACATCCACCTTTGCGAGGGAGCACTGATTTACCATACGAAGTGCTCCCTCACGGCGGGCTATTTATCCAGGCCTGTTTATCAATGTGGCTGTGGCTAGTTACATTTCACTCCTCACTACTTAGCGGCTGCGTCCAGTCACTAGTGACCTCAGAGCACTATATCTGCACACCGCCAGCAGCCACAGAGAAATTGCAGAGGGAGCCGAGTGTACATTTTGCACACACAGATGAGCCCCAGCCCCTGAGCTTTACTGGTAGGAGAGTTGCAATAGAATGCCATGACAATATAAAATTCACGACAGGTGGACTGGTCACTCACAGGGCTCTCGGGCAATGGGGCATCAGGGCCACCCTCCTGGTGCAAGGATTTTTGGCTACTACTCTTCTCCCCCTTCTTTGTACGGCTCTCACACAGAATGGCTATGTGAGAGCCACAGAGACATGACTCTGACACCTGCCGTGCCCCCCAAACAGGGACAGATTTGGGTCAATCCAACCAAAACAGTATTTGAATAAAATAGTTTTTAAATGGAGTAACTTGAGGTGGGTGCAGGAAGGCACAGGGGCTGAAGTAGGGGTATGAGGGCTGATGTGGGTGCAGGAAGGCACAGGGGCTGAGGTAGGGGTATGAGGGCTGAGGTGGGTGCAGGAAGGCATAGGGGCTGTGGTAGGGGTATGAGGGCTGAGGAGGGTGCAAGGAGAGATGGAGACTGAGGTGGGTGCAGGAAGGCACAGGGGCTGTGGTAGGGGTATGAGGGCTGAGGTGGGTGCAGGAAGGCACAGGGGCTGTGGTAGGGGTATGAGGGCTGAGGTGGGTGCAGAAAGGCACAGGGGCTGTGGTAGGGGTATGAAGGCTGAGGTGGGTGCAGGAAGGCACAGGGGCTGTGGTATGGGTATGAGGGCAGAGGTGGGTGCAGAAAGGCACAGGGGCTGTGGTAGGGGTATGAGGGCAGAGGTGGGTGCAGAAAGGCACAGGGGCTGTGAGGGGCTGTAAGGCTAGGGTATGAGGGCACAAGAGGTGGAGTTACAGGAAGAGCACAGGGGGCACCCAGCTAGTATAGGTATGAGGGCAGAGGTGGGTGCAAGAAGGCACAGGGGCTGTAGTAGAGGTATGAGGAGGGCTGAAGGTGGGTGCAGGAAGAGCACAGGGGCTGTATGAGAGTAGGGTATGAGGAGCTGAGGTGGGTGCAGGAAGGCACAGGGGGCTGTAGTAGTAGGGTATGAGGGGGCTGAGGTGGGTGCAGGAGGCACAGAGAACATAGTAGGGAGTATGAGGGCTGGGAGTGGGTGCAGAAAGGCACAGGGGCTGTGGTAGGGGTATGAGGGCTGAGGTGGGTGCAGGAAGGCACAGGGGCTGTGGTATGGGTATGAGGGCAGAGGTGGGTGCAGAAAGGCACAGGGGCTGTGGTAGGGGTATGAGGGCAGAGGTGGGTGCAGAAAGGCACAGGGGCTGTGGTAGGGGTATGAGGGCAGAGGTGGGTGCAGAAAGGCACAGGGGCTGAGATACGGGTATGAGGGCTGAGGTGGGTGCAGGAAGGCACAGGCTGGGAGGTAGGGCAAGGAGGGCTGAGGGTGGGGGGTATGAGGGCTGAGGTGGGTGCAGGGAAGGCAACAGGGCTGAGGTGGGGGTATGAGGGCTGTGGTAGGGGTATGAGGGCTGAGGTGGGTGCAGGAATGCACAGGGGCTGTGGTAGGGGTATGAGGGCTGAGGTGGTTGCAGGAAGGCACAGGGGCTGAGGTAGGGGTATGAGGGCTGAGGTGGGTGCAGGAAGGCACAGGGGCTGTGGTAGGGGTATGAGGGCAGAGGTGGGTGCAGGAAGGCACAGGGGCTGTGGTAGGGGTATGAGGGCTGAGGTGGGTGTAGGAAGGCATAGGGGCTGTGGTAGGGGTATGAGGGCTGAGGTGGGTGCGGGAAGGCACAGGGGCTGAGGTAGGGGTATGAGGGCTGAGGTGGGTGCAGGAAGGTACAGGGGCTGTGGTAGGGGTATGAAGGCTGAGGTGGGTGCAGGAAGGCACAGGGGCTGAGGTAGGGGTATGAGGGCTGTGGTAGGGGTATGAGGGCTGAGGTGGGTGCAGGAAGGCACAGGGGCTGTGGTATGGGTATGAGGGCAGAGGTGGGTGCAGAAAGGCACAGGGGCTGTGGTAGGGGTATGAGGGCTGAGGTGGGTGCAGGAAGGCACAGGGGCTGTGGTAGGGGTATGAAGGCTGAGGTGGGTGCAGGAAGGCACAGGGGCTGAGGTAGGGGTATGAGGGCTGAGGGGTGGGTGCAGGAAGGCACAGGCTGAGGTAGGGGTGGCTGAGGGCTGTGGTAGGGGTAGCTGAGGCTGAGGGTGGGTGCAGGAAGGCATGGGCTGTGGTAGGGGTATGAGGGCTGAGGTGGAGGTATGAGGGCTGAGGTGGGGGTATGAGGGCTGTGGTAGGGGTATGAGGGCTGAGGTGGGTGCAGGAAGGCACAGGGGCTGTGGTAGGGGTATGAGGGCTGAGGTGGGTGCAGAAAGGCATAGGGGCTGTGGTAGGGGTATGAGGGCTGAGGTGGGGGTATGAGGGCTGAGGTGGGGGTATGAGGGCTGTGGTAGGGGTATGAGGGCTGAGGTGGGTGCAGGAAGGCACAGGGGCTGTGGTAGGGGTATGAGGGCTGAGGTGGGTGCAGGAAGGCACAGGGGCTGTGGTAGGGGTATGAGGGCTGAGGTGGGTGCAGAAAGGCACAGGGCCTGAGGTAGGGGTATGAAGGCTGAGGTGGGTGCAGAGCTGTAGAAAATATTTACAAGAAGCCTACCTTGTTTACCCTGTCTGTCAGGCTGCTGCTTACCTTCATAGTACTCACAATACAGGAGAGGAGATAGGAGGCAGGTAGTGATGTCACTTCCCATCCTTGGGCCCCACCTCTTCCCCTCACTCAGAGCACCACATGTGAGATCATATGTGGAATACAGGTAGTTCCCGACTTTAAGAACTAATTGGTTCCAACGCTTAGTTCATAAAGTGAGAGTTCACAAAGTGAGAACTAATTTCCCATACAACGCAATGTAATAAACACGGGTTCTGTTCCTGACCAACACATTTTACCACTGAAAACCTAAACTATTAAGTGCAAATACAAAATGAAAGCATAGCAAACACCTATATATTGTAGGAACATTAAAGGAATACATACCATACTGAAATCTTCATCAAATTATCATCAATCATCATCATCCTCAATGAAGAGACATGTTGCACTTGTTGAATGAGGGCACCTCTCTTAAGCCCTCCTGCCCTTTCACTTTCTTCTTTATCAACTTTCTCCTCTCCTTTATCACTTTTCTTTTCCTACTTTTATTTTTACACCTCTCTCAAACACTCCTTCTCCTCTCTTACTTGCAAGCTTGCATCTCATATTTAGCACTTTTCTTTTACTCCTTTTATTTGTACAGCTTTCAAACTCTCTTCTGTCTCCCCTTTCTTTAGACTCTTCAGCCCTCCTCCTGCTCCTCACTGATGCTGCCTGCCAAAACATGGCACAATGGCAAACACACACACACAGCAATATCAGACACACACACACAGACAGCAATATCAGATACACACACACACAGAAAAATCTAATCAAATCTCTGCTCAATAGTACACAGTGCAAAAATATTACAGGTATGCCCATGAAAGCACAGAAAGACTACAGTACAGTGTAAACCCATTTTGTAGACTTCCCTTTATCTTGAGGAACTGCGTTCCTGATCCTCTTCTCGTCTACTCCTGGCCTCAAATTCTTCTTCTTCTTGCATTTGTAAATTTCCTCTGTGTAATACAGGTAGTCCTCACTTCGTGACTTACCTGCATAACGACGGCTCTGACTTACGACTAGCTCTCTAGTGCGGGGATTCGAGAGATTCCCCACATTAGAGAGCTGATCTAAGTTCAGGGAATTTTAAATTTTTAACTCTCCTAGCCATTCAGTCACATTAGCATTATTTCCAATCCACATCAATTGTTGGCGTGAGTGTGGACTGGATGGGTTGGGATGAATAATTCTCATGTGACTGAATGAATTGGAGAGTTAAAAAAAAATTAGACCATGAGCATTATTAAAAAACAAACAAGGGAGATGAGCTTTATATATATATATATATATATATTTTTTTTTTTTTAAATGTCCGTTACTATTTTTAAGCAATCCAAGTAATTTAGTTAGATTAGCATTAACCCCCATTTGGACCACACTACAACAATTGATGGGGGGAAATGCAAATGGGACTGAGACATTGAGAGCCCTGTGACATCTTTGTCCCAAAAGCAAAGTTTGTCAGTGCTATCTCTGGCCCCAAACAGCAGGGGGGTTACGTATGAGGAGCAAATATAAAGCTTTATGTCCCTTTTATATGTGTCCTTTATATCAACAGTGTATTTCTCAGTTGTGCTTAAAAATGCTGCAAAGCTATGGGCCTGGCATAATGCTGATTTAACGTGCAGTGTAAATTTATAATTAAACAGGCCTTGCCATTGACACCACAGACACAGAGCAGACAAGACAAAAAAAAGCCTTAACAGCTTTTGCTCTGATCAACCTTGTCATCAATTTAAGAGGTAAGTGGCGATGAAATTTAAAATTGCATTTTTAATTCTGCATGTTTTTTTTTTCTATTTGATATCTGGTTTCAGGGGCAATTCCTGTGCTTGCAGTTTGGGGGCTCGTGATCTTTTGAGTTGCCGTATTTCTTTAAAAGACTCCTTTTTTTTATGTTGAAGGGACAGTAGTTACACTACCTGGATTACTGCATCCAGATTTTTGAGAAGGCAGGTTGTGAAAAACTTTTGAGAGACTGCAAAAGACCTGCAACAAGACCTGTTGGTAAAAGGCACTAAGGTTTCAATGAGCACAGTAAGGCACGTACTAAATGTAGAAGATTTCCAATTTTGTTTTAGTCATAGTCTTTTGACTAAAAAGCCATTTTAGTTTTAGTCGTCTTCTAGTCATCTGAATTGTTTAAGTTTTAGTCTAGTTGTAGTTGACTAAATCTCCATTAGATTTTAGTTTACACAACTAAAATCGAATGGATTTTGTTAAAGCCGCTATCTGTCTCTTTTTCCCCTTCCCTAGCCCCTCTGTGTCTCTTTGTGTCCTCAGCCCCTCCAGGTGTCTCTCCCATGCCTCGGTCTGTCTCTTTTGCCCCTTTCACAGCCCCTCTCTGTCTCTTTGTCCCCCAGTCTCTCTGGGTGTGTCCCCCTAAGTCCCTGTCTCTCTCCATAGCCCCATTTGTGTGTCTCTTCCCCCCTTATTTCTTTCTCCCCAGTCCCTCTCTGTCATTTTGTGTGTCCCCAGCCCCTCAATGCATCTCATTACCCCACATGTCTCATTCACCCAGCCACACATGTCTCAATTCCTCCTCAAACCCATCCATGTGCTCATTCCCCCAGTCTCTCCATGTGTCTTATTCTCCCAGCCTACCATGTGTCTCAATCCCCGAGCCCCCCATGTGTTTCAATCCCCCAGCCCACCATGTGTCAATTTCAATTTTGTTTTAGTCATGGTCTTTTGATTAAAAAGCCATTTTAGTTTTAGTCATATTTTAGTCATCTGAATTGTTTTAGTTCTGAAATATTTTAGTCAATTAAAAACTGACTAAAATTGTTGGTCTACAAAATTGTGTGGGTGTGTGTACATAGGTATGTGACATATGTATATATACATATGTACAAAATTGTTCTTATTTATCATGGTGTTTTTGTGGTGTTTATGTTTTTTTCATGATGCCATTTTAATAATGAACATTTATTAAGGTGTGTGATGATGTTCTGTCTAATTTATGTTATTTTTTTTTAATGCCAGTAAGATTGGTGCTGTAACTACATTTATAACAGCACACTGCGAAAACATTGGTTTTATTAAATATGTTACTCAGTTATGATAAGTGTACCATAAGAACAACATGCATTTTTAAAATGTTTTTTGTTTTTTTTATTGAACTTCTTAGGTAACTCAAAAATGGGCATTCGTTCATTTTATTCTGTAATAAATATTAAGGCCCAAGAGGCTGATATTGCAAAAAAAAACAGCAACAAGAAAAGTCAGCCTGGTCAGTCTTCTTCCTTTAAAGAGTGTAAAGAGATTGAGAAGGATGAAGTTGAATATGAATATGACAATGCTAAAATAATATCAGATCATGATGTATCTTCATTCCAGATTGAAGTCGCAAGCACCACTTCACAAAGCAATATCCAACTCAGTGCTTATGAAGAGGATTTTAGTGACACTGAACTGCCGCAGAGTGCACAAACATCTACCATCGACAAAAAAGCAAAGTTACAAAGACCAGATGATATGAGCCAGTGCGCTACAAGAGGGCCAAGACAGCCCGTAATAAAAAAATATTCACAGACAAAAACGAGAACACGATTTAGGGCAATCCGACCACAGTGGTTTCAATCATTTGAGTGGCTGGAGTATTCTAAGATGCAGCATACTATTTCCCTTGCATTTTTTTAACCTCAAAATATCTCCATGGGCATGTTGAAAAAGAACCATTTATCAAAATAGGGTACAAAACCAGGAAAAATGCACTTGAAACAAGCAAAAGGAAAACTAGTTCATGGGAAGACTGCTTCACACAATATTTCAGATTAATAAAAATTATTTTGTCGGACAAGGTCATGATGGAGCCTCTGCAATGAGTGGCCAGCTTAATGGTGTGTAAGCACACATTAAAAAAGAGGTGCCTTGTGCGCTTTACTTTATTTATATGAATCACTGTCTCAAACTGGTGATGGTGAACCTGTTCAAGAATGGACAGGCAGCATCGTAATTTTTTGTAAAACTAGAAAAGCTGTATGTGTTGTGCAATAGTTCTGTAGTTCATTCAGTATTTGGTAAACCCATTGTAAAGTGCTACGGAATTTGTTGGCGCTATATAAATATAATAATAATAATAACGTGCAACACGAAATGGCAAGCAAACCAACTATCCAACTTAAAGAACTAAGTGACTCAAGGGGGACATGTCAACATGCAGCCTGCGATGCTGTTCTTAAGACACTTGACCATCTGTTGGAAACAATCTAAACAATACGGAGAGGGCATTTCAGGCAAAATCCATTCACCAGTCTATTGACTATGGCTTCATTCTGGCATTCGTATTTTTTGAGAATATACTGAAAAGGTTCCAGACTTTTTCAAGCCAAAGATCTTGACTTGGCATCAGCTCTCCTCTTTGTGCAAACAGTCATAGAGGAGCTTGAACATGAAGCTTCTAGTCATTCTGCAACAATGGAAAGTGTCTGGGCGTAAACAATCTAGCTGAGCATGAAGTGAGGATTACCAACACCAAATTATGATTTTATTGAACCGCCAGCCTTCTTTTTACTTAAGAAATTGCATCATTTTGGAAATTGTAGGACATAGAGCAAAAAAAAGATGATTTCATTAGAATGTTCATGTATGTTATTCTTTACAGAATAAGTTCAGAGCTAAACTTTTACTTCTCCTAAGATTCTCTGGAGATCATGGAAGGTGGTGTACAGTCTTTGAACCCCCATTGTGATTTATTTCTTTATTTTAATAAATGCTACCAAAAGCCAAATTCTATTTGTGCAACATGGAAAACTTGCAGATTGAGCTGAAGCAGGCATTGCTAACCCTACAAAGAAAATAGTCATCATGTGCCATCAATATTGTATAGCGCTACGGAATCTGTTGGCGCTATATAAATGGCAATAATAATAATTAAGGTGGACACAGTTGTAGACTATACCAACTTTATTGAGCCTTAGTCTATTCCATTGCTTGAGCTTTCCCGGCTATGTAAAATAGCTTGTGTTTTGCAAGTCAGCAGTGTATCATGCGAAGGAAACATTTTCTGCAGTAAAATTAATAAAATCATTCCTATGCACAACAATGACTGAGGAAAGACTTTCAGGTCTTGCCTAATTGGCTGGGTGCAATCCTATCCTTTAACATGGTTTCCATCACTTTCCCCACTACTGAAGTAAGGCTTACTGGCCTATAGTTGCCTGACTCCTCCCTATTACCTTTCTTGTAAATGGGCACAACATTCGCTAACTTCCAATCTTCTGGGACTACTCCTGTTAACAATGATTGGTTAAATAAATCTGTTACTGGTTTTGCTAGTACACCACTAAGCTCTTTTAATAGCTTTGGGTGTATTCCATCAGGTCCCATTGACTTATTTCTCTTTACTTTTGACAGTTGAAATAGAACCTCTTTCTCTGTAAACTCACATGTAATAAATGACTCATTTATCCTTTTTCTTAACTGAGGTCCCTTTCCTTCATTTTCATCTGTAAATACAGATGAGTTCTGTATTACTTGGCCAGGTCTCAAAAAGGTGGAGAATAAGATTCAAGTCCAACAAGGTACAATATCTAGATATCGGTGGCCATGCAAATCTGAAACCCTGATTGAGACTGCAAACCAAAAGATTTGTACCAATTCGAAAACAACCCAAACCATGGTGACTGTAAATGCAGACCAATAGAGCTTCCTGTCGTAAGCCAAACCTTGGTCGAAAAGGAGTGTAAGGTAAGCTACAATGTGACTTAGAAAGGCACGTATGGGATCTACGTATTGTTCCATGCACCAACTATCCTACGAGTTTCAAGCATGATGATAGGATAATTTCATTCCCAGAGCTCAAACTCCCACCAGTAGATTAATAGTCGCTGGTGGAACATTCGGGATGAACCAGAGTCCCAGGAGAGGGGCCAAGATGCCCTTGGCATATGAGATGCCCTTGAACTAGAAAAGGATGTAAGTTCCCTTTGGGATCCAGTAAAAGGTCTTTGGATGTAGAGTAATCTTGGGAAATTCGTGGACATTTTCTTAAGTGTCAGGAACCATGGTTGGGCAATTCAGAACAGTGATAAGAGGATGAAAGCATCTGACGCTAAAGCTTTTGAGTCTGGTCCCCAATTGTGGAACACCAGGAAGTCAAATGAGGCGCGAACAGATCTATATCCAAGGGACCCTACAATGATTGCAAATGAAGGAAAACAGCATTGCCCATCGCTGGCATCTCATATATGTCTGGAATTCCAATCTGCCTCTATATTGAACATGCCCGGGATATACTGCTTGCACTAACAGATTGCGATCCAGGCATAACTGCCAGAACTCTTTCGCTAGGTCTGGCAGTACCATTAATTTCGTGCCACCCATATGATTGATGTAGTGTATTGCTAATATGTTGCCCATGTGTAGCCCATTGAGCAGTTAGTCAAAGCCCCTTATGAGGCTACACAGGGCAAAAATCCTGCCATGAGCTCTTTCTGCTGGGGACCATATGCCCCCTGGGGAGATAGAGATGCAGGGTGCGCACAGCCCGGTGCACATGTGTCAGATTGTGTGGCGAAGTCTGGAGAGGTACCAAAGATCGGTGTACAACAGCAAACAAATTCCAAGGAATCCATGTTTAAAATGGAATAATGAGGCAAAAATGGGATTCTTTGTTGAACTATTTTGCATATGCCCACCCAGAATCCCTTGCAGTGTAACATCACTGCAAATTTGAGATTTCTGTGGAAAAAGCAAGTCTTATGGCTTGACTGGTGTGCAGATCTGTGTTAAACAATGTATTGACTATCCAATGACTTCAGTTTTACAAACGTGTATTCCTAACAGTATAGTGTTAAACTAACTAACTGGGTGACTGGCCTCCCTCAGATAGCATTGAAAGGGTGATTTTACTCACATGTTCTCCCTTGCCGCACCAGTCTCGCTGTAGTGGTGCTGGTGACGATAGTCTCCCTTTAAGTCAAGTTACAGTTATTTACATTGGAATTTTTCATCACTATATTTTGTAATCATCTTTTTTGCCTTTGTGCATCAAATGCAGAAACTTCAAATGTGACTTTAGAGAATGTATCTCTCTTTAGTTTTTTATAGATATTGAATTACAGCACTGGCAAGATATAAGTGGTAAATTGCAAAATTGGAAGTTTTTCAAACTGGGTTTTAGTGCCTTCTTCTTTTGGATCAACAGCAAAAAAACAAATGTGAGGAAGGCTGAACTTGATGGACACATGTCTCTTTTCACAAAAAAGTAAAAAATACAAGAAAAGGACTGCGCTTGGATAAAATTTTGAATGATACTAAAAGTCCAGATAAAATCAATGGATAAAAATAGAAAGTCTTATCTGGCAATGTCCGTGGTACTTGGTCCGAAACAGTAATCTTGCTTTCTATCTTCCTTATGAACCGTCTCATATGCAAGAGATAAAAACAAATACAAAGCCAAAATAGTGTAGTATATCTTGAGAAAAGGAAGTTGAAATATAAAACTTGATTGCAAACTCACATTTAAAAGAGCTAGAACCTGCTCTGGTATAGAGGGCGTATAGCGGTTTAGATCCCCGCTTATGGGATATGGAATGACTTTCCTTCGCGTACTTCCTCCTTCCGTAATATGGGAGATACTCAAATAAAAAGAGACAACTAATAGTGTTCTCTGCGTAAAACTTAGAATAAAATATATAAATAAAAGTGGATACTCACAAGACAGGAGCAGGTCAACTGCTCCTGATAGTTCGCGTTGGTGGAATAATCCCCACCTAGGATTACATGGAGTCAAGCGAGTAAAAAGGAATGATGCCAGGTAACAATAATAAATATATGTGCATAAAAAGATAAGTGGTACGATAAAAGATTACCAAATATACTTTAATATTTAAAATTACACAATATAAAAACCATAAACGCATTTCGCCAATCGGCGTTATCAATATGGGTAAAGAACCTGATACCTGGCAGTGGATCCTTTAACCCCTTAAGGACACATGACATGTGTGACATGTCATGATTCCCTTTTATTCCAGAAGTTTGGTCCTTAAGGGGTTAAATAACATGTACAAACATTCCAAAATTGGCGCCAAAATTTGGCCAGCCAATCAGGATACAAATAAAAAATGCATTTGATAAAACAGGATTAAAACAAATAAAATAGAATACATATGTAACAAGGTAAGAATAACTATTACAAAAATATAATTGAAGATTAAAAACGAACAGTATAATAATAAAATAGATTATGTGATGCACGGTCACATGACCGGCATCACCACCGAGGGGGGTGATGGAACATGTAGTATGATGCCGGCAGGCACTGAAGTGCGGCCGACGCCAGTGGGCGGGAAGATCGGCGTCAGCACGCACGTGATGCGGCTGATGTCGAGAAAAGGGGCGGACATACTGATGACGGCGGCACGCACAAGGCTGCGGCCGTCGTCATCAGGAAGGAAAATGTAGATAGACGACGGCTAACACGAAGCTGTAGCCGTCGTCATGGAGGTAAAATAAACAAAGTCGGCGGGCTGCAGCCGACTAGGGTGGGGAGAATGAGGAAGATATGGGAATAAAATCAGCACCATGCCTGGTCCACTAAATAGTGAGAGCAGGCATGGTGACTGAAAGAATAATAGAGGCAATAATTAAAAATATAATAAGTAAAATAATGAATAAAATTTAAATAAAAACAT